GGGGGGATGAGTGGGGAGAAGATGCCTTTCAAAACAACTTTTAGGGCAACATGCGGCATATATAAATCCTGAGGGATGTGGATTTCAAACCATCTGGATTCACCACAAATCCAAACCTAAAATCATATCCTTAAAGTAGGTAAAGGCAATTTTCTCTTTAGTTTTGGACAGAAGGTTGAAGGGTCAGACTCACTGCCAAGTTTTAATTGCAGATGGTGTCCCCACTGGGGAGATTACACCCATCCAGGTGATCGCTGTACAATTACAATCCTAGATTTTAGAGTTGTCAGGAGTTCCCCTCCAAATTCCAAAGTGAATGGAAGTCTTTCCAGCAAGACACATGCACACCATGTGCATTGTCTCACTTCCATGAAGTGTGTTGGGTGCCATTCACATGGTGGTACGCAAATTGCAGTAAATTTACATATTACCGCAACGTACCAACCTGAATAGGACTTATACCAAGAGCAGCGATAGAAATACAAGTGAAAACTCGCCATAGGCGATGGTGTAAAGACTGTATCAAGACTGGTCAGTAAAGTCCAAGTTGACCTACAAACATTTTAGGGGTGCTACTTATAAAACCGTAGTATGACCCGTTGCAGTCATACTGTTAGAGACTGAAGCAAAACCAAGCCTTGTTCCCTTCATTGAGCGGTCTTTTAGAACCCAGTCACATTATAGCGAGTCATGCAGAGATCATCATAACAGCACAGCAGGTTGCACTCTGAATCCTGCATTTTATGAACAATGTAATACAGGCCCAAAGTTTCAGATGTCCTGCAGACCAGAATTCCAATGGGCAGTGCAAGCTCTCCTATTGTAGTTTGTGAATGACCAGCCAAACCAATGCTACTCAACCAAGGGGTTGCCAGTGTAAGAAGTTGCGATTTCAGGGGTGGACACACACACTTTGCTGGATTCAATAAGGTACTGTCGATTTTATAGGTTTTGAACAGTTATATGAAAGATTCATACCTACACTAAGCCTCATCTCAAACAACAATGGACCTTCACTGGATACTGGTGGTGGAGGTGGAAATGTTACCACATCGACTTTCAGTGGCAGAAAGCCAGTGACTGCAAAACTGCAACGAATCAGCAACCTGTAGGGGAGGCAAATGCACCAACACTAAAACACGCCACGTGTACACATTTTTGGAAGATAAGGCAACACTCCTGAGAGCTAATCAGTAATAAAATCTACACCACCACACAGTTTGCCTCTGAAAAGGCAAAAAGGTCAGCCAGCCTGGAAGACATATGTGAAGTGACAAGTATTCATTAATAAAAAGTACACACAAATGCTGAACAGCATTTCCCTTAATATCTTCTCTGTAGTCAACTTCACTCTTGAGTTTAGGGTCACTTTAAATGAGTAATTGTGACCAAATGCTGAACTCTTGAAGTTTGAACTCCCCAACTGCATACTCATGGTCTGTTAAGGTGCCCACACACACCTTACAATTTATCTGCAGATTTTCTGTGGTCAGATGGAAAAGGTGCAACAGATTGGCCCAGGTGGAGATTACTCCATCCACACAGTTAAGTGTAGATGGAGGAATCTGATGCACCTTTTCTATCTGACCACAGAAAATCTGCAGATAAATTGTAAGGTGTGTGGGCAGCTTTAGACAAACGGTTTTTGGATTGGCATGAAGGCCATTAGCAATCTTAGAAGGATAGATTAGCAACGAAAGCCTACACCTGTGCAGTATTCTTTTATGTCAAGCCAAAGCTTTTTTTTTTTAGAAGGTAGGGAAGGGTTAAACCCTTGTCAAATGAAACTTGTCAGCAGAACAGACATTTAGGAGAAGGATACCTGAATGTGGTGTCTCTGGAGATGAATATCCTGTTCCAGGTTTGTATCGTTTTTGTGGCCTGCAGCACATTCTCGTACACTGCCTGATCCCCAATCACCTAGGGTACATTTTACAAATATAACAGCATTCACAGAGCATGAAGCAGATACATGAAACTAATAATCTCAAGGTCTGACTCTGTACATTCCATTTTATTTGATGCACAACCTGTTGACATAAGCCATAGCCACACAGGGAGCACAAAGCTGAATGAGTTGGCCAACTCAAACGTCTAGTGTGACAAGGAGATTAAAAGCCTGACCATTTAGTACTCGAAGAAACAGAGCCCGCATATACAAAGAACAAAACTTCTTCTTCTAGGTTTTTAGAACTACATAGCCTACAGATTTTTTTTTTTTGGAGAACCAAAATAGATTTGTGTAATAATGGATTTCAAATCCCATTCAGCCGTTTGACCAAGTTTTGAGGTATATATTTTCAAACTTTGCTTAAAACACAACTCCAGGCAAAGTTAGTTGCTTTGCAATTCAAAACAAGAATACATACAATCACAATTTTTTTTAGACAAGTTTTAGTCAAATAATGCAAGATGCCAGGGAAATACTGCGCAAGGTTATATGTAAAAAAAAAAAAAAAAGATAGAGCAATGGTCGTTGGTACTCCAATCAATGTTCTGTGATACAGCGCTAATCATATTTTAGTAAAGTTTATTAAACAAGATTTTAGTAATGTTACCTTGAATGTTGTCCCACAGGAAGAAAGAGGGAATTCATACAGCAGAAACATATTGTTACTTGCCACCGGGTCACATTCTGTGCTGTTGCCAAGTAGTCGAATAGAATTTAGATCCAGTCTTGGTGCAGTCTGTGTACTGGGAACAGCAATCGAAAAAAAGCCTTCTGGCGTGCAGCGAGCAGTAACTGGGGGAAGAGAGTACAATACAAGCAAAGGGGGTATAACAAGATAAAACATTTGCGTCAGGTATGCTGTAAGGGTAAAGGTTTGCGATGTGTTAAGACTAGTATTTGTTTAGATGCCACTTTAAGTCCTACATCTTTTACCCCTTCACAGTCTTATACCCTTATACTAGGAAACCAATTTTTATTTTTTTTTTTATTGTTGATCCTGATTCTCGGCGCGGGAGCGAGCGGCGTTAACGAGGTAAAGTTTTAAATGATTTTAAGTGTTGTGTTTTTTTTACACTTCTTGCCTATATCTACTGCATGCTAGCAGTAGATATAAGCAAAAAAAACCAGAGGGTTTAGAACCCCTTTAACTAATAACAAAAATATATCTTATTTATGCATCACTCGGCTATAGATAGTCAAATAATCTCTGAATTGGTGCCGACACTGTCCTTTCTGGAGGGGGGGTACTTTTGTTCCCCATGGTCCTTGTGCGTGTTGTAAAGTAGCCACCGCTCCAAGCTCTCCCCTATGATAGACTACTATATCAGCTTAAGTTTACCAATTTGTATGGAGGTTATAGCACTAATTCAGAGGTTTTTTTTTAAAGATTTAACTCCTGAGTGGAGTGTCACTTTAACAGAATTATTGCAGAGGGGAGGGAAGTGTCCGACTAGGTCTTGTTTGGTTGACTGAACAATTTACACACCCGGCACATCTGATATAGCAGGAAAGTGGAGTCAAAACTATGAAGATGCAGGTTAGTACAAAGTCCCTCTATATGGATGTACATTTCCGCGAGTTAAATAGGCTTTAAGAGAATATTAGGAGTATTCTAACGGATTATTCTAACGAATTAAACCCAAGGCATAGTTATTTAAGCTTTGAATTGCATTGGGAAAGGACCTGTGCACCCAACTCCAGGTTGGTATTTTAGAATAGATTGTCAGATTTCTTGTGGCTGCCTGGGTATAGATTACCGACATCCCTATGCTGCTAACCACCTCCCCTCCCCAGCAGTGAAACATTTTGAGTCTTCTCCCCTTTCCACTCAAAAGAAAAAGTGAAGTATTGAGACTTCTACTTTATACCCACCTGTACTACCATAGTAACATGGAGTAGTTCGATCTGAAGGGTCATAGCAGCAACCTGCACTTGTACATGAGTCTTCTGAGTCTTGTGAACTGAAGCAGCTCAATCTGTCAGGCCTGGGGACTGCAGCACATTGGTCTGGACTTGGAGCATCTTGATCTGAAGATCGGAAGAAAGACTTACGAACTAGGAAGGTACCAGACATCTTAAAGAAAATCTTTCCTTGAGTTAACCATGGAGGCTGCCATTGTAGATTTTAAATTCTGCACGATAGTTGCCTGACCAACATGTTGAACCACTTGTTTTAATACCATATCAGAATAAGAATATTTAGACCTAATCAACTTTTCTGATTCACATTTATTGAAGGCCCTGCTCTTAGACAAGTCCTGCAGCACCCAAAGTTCCTGTAAATCATAATGTCCAATACACCGTGTATAGGACGTAAGGATGCAGAGGGACATTTCATCGCTGCAGCAGAGGAGAAGAAACAGCTGTGAGGCTCCAAGGATCAGATGAGCAATTTATTTTTCTCCATAGACTAAGCCAAGCTCTTAACCCCTTAGTGTGGGGGTAGCCTGACCACAAAGGTTAATCATTTTTCCAGGAGTTCTGCTTAACTTATTCAGGACCGCTGGATGTACATAAACGTCCTGGTCCTGAATTGGCTTTTACCAAGATCATGGCTGCTGCAGCCATGATCTTGGCATCTTTCAGCAGGTAGAGCTTGTTCTGTACAAGTGATCCGTTTGGCTGTACAGCCGCCCAGATCGCTTGAAGCAGCCATGCAATAGTGCTGGCCCCAACCCCACACAGTGGTTTTTGGGGTCCTCCGCTCCTCTGGGGGACCCAAGACCATGGCAATTAGTGTCAGGATAGAGAACAGGAGAGACTGGAGAACAGAGTCCATTCCCTGATCTGCTTTGCGATCAGCAAGTCAGGAAGTGCTGTCCTCACAGCACTTCCTGCTCACAGCTGTCACAAGCCCGTCTGAAATGCCGGATACACAGGAGAATAAGCACAATATTGTGCATGAGCCCCTGTATTGGGAGGCCAGGGGAGACATCTGGGGTCTGGGACTCCAGTTGTCAATCTTAAAAAAAAAAAAAGAAGAGAACCAGTCACCTCCAAATGCTATCACATAGGAAGAGAACTGGAAAAAGAAGCGCTACTACCCTGTTGAATAATTATAAATCACAATGTAAGATAAATATATTGGCTGACTCAAATGTAGGCATACAGGAAAAAATTAAAATAACTCACTGTTGGGAGTATAGTGCGCGACCAGAAGGTGGCGTTGCTCTGCCTGAAGGGGGGGGTTCGTGGGTCAGAAGACCATGTTGCTCAATAGAACCGGTCTGCGGTAAATAGTGGCTTGGGGAAGTAACATGGGGTGAGATGGCAGAACTCAGCTGGCCAGGCTGAGCCTGCTCGAATCAGTGGGAGAGCGGCGAGGGATGCCGCTGTGATAGCAACAAAGTTAAAAATGAAAACCAACCCACTCCCACTGCCATCTGTATGCGAATGAAGACATGCATGTAGGTCATGCACATGTACGTAAATTACAAATGCGCCATACATACGCCATATTGTTCTCACGCGAATGTCGCCCTGGGAACAATAATTCTAGGTCCAAAATTTGGCACTCTAAAAGAATGACCAGTAAAGGCTTTAAAAGTGTTGCCTATGGACAGATTTTATCACGTGTGCAAAAATTAAGAAAGTGCATTGGACAGAAAGAAGTTAAGCAAGGGTATTTCGATGACCAGGCCACTGGCATGTAAAAATAAGGGTTAATGGCATCCCACGTTCTCTCAGGAAAGGTTTAATTTACGAACTGGTACTGGACAGAATTCACCTCACTAAATGTGAAATTTCTGTAGCCGTTCCATAGAACAATGCTCAGCTTAGATACTCACAGGACTCCACAGAACACTTCAGCTCTTTCCTCACTATAACTTGCTTCCCACCATCCTGTCTTGTTGAAAAGCCGAGAGTCAGTACAAAGTCTGTTTCCTAAGCAGAAGATATCAAACCAGAAGTACTTTAGATAGTGGATAGGAAATCTTGCAAACAGATTATACCGACCGATCAAAGTTACCGTCAATTACTTTTATTGTGAATTAGGGGTTACCACTATTAGCATCTAGCAAGTCGCCACAACCTTGGAGATGTATTTTAGATTTAGGTTAGTTCTTATAACTCCGTTTAAAAGTATTCATGTCAACTAATTCACCAAGGTCCTACACCCTTTACCAAACCATGTGATTTCAAAGTAATTCTCAATATATTTTGAAGCCTCCTGCCATGAAGGTGCTTATTAAACCCTGTCCTTGGCTCCCAGTTGCACTTCTGCAGCTTCACCCCATCTTTCCATGTAGACTACAAGTAGCCATTTTAAAACACATTGCATTGGTATGGCGCACTGCTTCCAAGCATCACTAGCAGGAAACTGAGAAATGCCATATATATATA